TACTGTCCTAAACATTATTATAAAACAAGCCCTGTAAATACAACCATTTATTTTGGCAAAATGAAAGCATCAGAGCATTGATCTAGAGAGAGTGAGGTACTTCAGTGGAGTATGGTTTTTTTTCCCCCTTCAAATGGAAAAAAAAAATACAAGTCCTGAAGCATATCAAATCTTAAGTTGGGAGGAAAAAAAAAAGTCAATAGCTTCTTGTTCAAAAATTTATTCTTCTGGAAAATTGAAGACGTTCCTGCAAGTCTACCTTAGCTGATGATTTAATATGGTGAATGAAGACTGAAAGATAGCTTACAAATGTTTCTCTAACAAATAACACCTTAGATTCACTGTTCCTCCTGCAAACAGCTTTAAGTCTACAGTTCTTTTCCCCTAGAATTTATAAATTCTAAAATCTAGAAACAGTAAGGTCACATGCTTACAAAAATTTTTGATTTTAAAAACAAGCTGTTGCTCTTTACATGATTTAATGAGAACAGCCTGAAAAGGTTTGCTTTTCTAAGCAGGGAAGGTTTGATCTGCTAGCATAAGCAAGCAGTGTGCCAAGAATGGCCAACCTAGCCATTGCTGGTTTTACTATGGAAAATCATTAAGTACCTCAGAGCATGTTCATTCAGTTACATCTTACATCTCAACCATCTCAACATTGAGTAAAGCAGCCCTTTCACACCTAGGAGTCAGTTGTATGCTGAATTAGAGAGTCATTTAAGGGATCTCTTCTCTCAAGTTACTCAGCCCTGGGTGATTCCATGGTTCTTCAGTCAAAACTTACGTTTGACAGACCCAAATATAAAGTGCAATAATTCCTTGTCCCTGGTGTTTTAAGACTCTGAAAGCATAGCATACTTGCTTTTTCTTTTTGTTTTTAATAATACGTATCAGTTAAAATTTGCCATTGTTATACTACGGATAGGAGACATACAATGCACTTCTGTTCTTACCTTAACCTTATTATTAATCAAGACAGCGTCAGATATATATAAATACGAACGATATGAACGATACAAAGCTTCTCCCTTTAATACACGTTTGCAATCTGTAACAGACTAATTTGTTAGCATTTAGTTAGAATGTTATGTAATGGCTGAAGTATTTGTAATGAAAACAGTCTATTTCTGTTAGCCTGTTCTTCACAGACATAAAAGCTGTCTTCGTCTGATTTTTATTAGGACTCCATCCTCTGCTCTTTATGCATTTTTTTTTTAAAAGACTTCTGTTAATTCCATTTTCATTTCACAAACACATATATTTTTTCCTCCCACCTCCTCACACAAATTTCATCTCTTCTTTTTGCACCTGCCTTCATCCATGGGACATTTCTATGGGGTTTTGTGAAACCAGAGCCTGAAAAAAAAAGGAAAAAAACCCCACAAGGGCAAGAAGCTGAGCGAAGAAAAAATTTGCTACAGGAGATGAACAACTGGTTCTACCAGTAAAACGCCACTGGCAGTCCCGTCATTACAAGTCCAACATCCATCCCCAACTAGTGGAAACGTGGTGCACTTTCAGGGCGGAGTTTTTTCCGCAAACCCTCCATTAATGTATACAGCCTTCAGAGATGTTCCCCTCTTCCCTTCAACAGGGGGACCGTGGAGGAATATTTCTTCTTCACCCACCTCTCCAACATACTATGCAAGGGTTTGCCCCTCTGCAAGAACTACCTTTTTCTTTCTATTTCTACATCTAAATCACCTATCTAGGCTATCGTTATACGGCATTTATGCTACATTTTCCATTCCCTCTCCACTTTCATGTCACTTCCATAGTTAATACAGGAAATATTTTGGAATACGGAACTTGTACTTTCAGTAACCCAGGACATCTGACCAAAGCAAACCCCATACAAAACACCCATTTCTTTGACTTACGTTCCTTCATTTTATTGACCTACAGCACTCATTCATGCAGGACCAAGCCTGCAAGTAATCTCTCTTCTGAACTGTATCACCTTTTGCCTGTTCCTTGCGGTCTGTTTCACCTTCCCTAGCAGACTTCAAGATGAGAGGAAACGTGCCTAAGGAAGATGCATGACATAAACCTTTACCATTGAACAAGGACTTCAGCAACACAGAAGTTACAGATGTAAACTGAAATAACAATTTTTTTAAAAGGCTTCTCTACAAAAAGCCAAGGCTTCTAGTTATGGAGTCTAAGCAAAGTAAAGAAATTATACATAACTACAGTGATATTAGCAAGGCTCATAGAAATGACTGTGTATTGGTTTATACACATTCGGTAAGTAATAGCTTATAAAAGTGATACTTTCTTGATGTAGAAAACACAAATCTACTAAGGCAGTGTTCCAAGTGACAGACTCAAAGCCACACAAGTCATTACCCTAGTCTCCACACACCAGCAGAGGCCTATATCAATTCTTGCTTCAGCTCAAATGGCCATCTCAAGTGGTCACCTCACATAAGCTAAGTGGTCATACTCTTCACTCACTGAACTCGATCAGAACACATTGCTGAGGACAAACCATCTTTTTATTGAACATACACCAGCTTCAAAGAAATCTCAAACCTTCCCAATTCCTTAGTCGCAAGGAGACCACTGTACGACAGCTGCAGTAAAACACCCCAAAATCAATCTTGAAGAAATATTCTCTCCACTATATGATCAAAGAAAATTGAGACCCCTTTAGCTCCTGGTAACCAGTATTAAAAGACAATCCTTTTGTTTCTCACTGATGCACAAATGAGATCACATCCCATTTCCTCCTCCCTTCAAAAGTAACTTCTTGTCTTGGCAGTGCTCTGAGGACCTGACATCTAGTAGGCCTGATGTCCCACCATACAAGAGAAAAAGCTACAAAGAAAAAAAAAAAGTTCCACCTGCCTGAAATAACGCTTACTTTTACTAGTGTACCACTCGACTCCAGTCATTAAAAAGCAACAAGGAAGAACAGTTTTCTACTCAATGAGGAGGAGCAGAAAAGCTTTCACAAAGGGACATGCTTTCAAAACATATGGCTGAGAGACAAAAGGAAAGAAACACAGAAAACATGAAGTGTTCCAGACAACTCCCCACACCATTTCCTCATGCATACTGCTCAGGCCCCCCCGGCCCACAGAAACAACCCGTGTGGGAAACTAGTTGGACCATCTTTGGCTCCAAGATTTTCAATCGCTGCATCCCCAGGCGATGGTTCCCATAATACCTACTGCAGACTGGCGGTGCGATTTTTAGCCATGTCATCTAACCTTGGTCACGCTATGGTTTAAACAGTATCTGTAAGAACACTCCTGGCTGTGCTTACTCCACTTCTCCAAACCTTGTCTCTGCAAGGAGAAATAACAACACCTCCGTGAAAGGAGCTTTACTCAGTCCTGCATCAAATAATCCAGGAACAGCCTTAACCATACATCTCAAGAACTGTGGATGAGTACTGCAGAGTTAGAAAACCAAGACGCAGCGTCCTGCTTGTGCATCCAGCATCCCTTAAGAAAAGCCTCCCTCCTCTTCCCCCCCCCCCCAAAAAAAAGAGTTTTTGGAGCGAGAATCACACCTCCAAACTAAGCGAACACGCACG